TTTGGTAATTTACTTGACATGACATTCTTTTGAAGCTGTTTGCAGTAAAATCTTCCCGTAATCCAAACAAATCCATACCTCAGTAGTTAAGTTGAACGGGCCATATTGACAACTGCCTTGCATCTATGTAACTTGTAGAATTTTTAATAAGTTGAAGTACGTTGGGAATTCATCTTGAGAGTGTGTTATTTGATATACAATGTTTTGTCCATTTCATATCTGCTCAAATTTTTGAGGCAACTGGTAGTTTAGGTTTTCTCAAAGCAGTTTTAACATCATTTTAAGTTTGATGTAATCTACAGATGCTAGAAGGAAATCACTTCATGACCAACACGAACTCTGACTTCATCCATCAGGAACCGGTCGATTTTAAGCCAAAATTCCACTTAAGTCGATGTTCAAACAGAATTCAACAGTAAGTGTGGAATTCTTCTGATCTATTCCATCTTACTTTATTCTTATGAAAAATATAATTTGTAGTTCAATTTTTTCAAAGAGTGTGAAGCAGCAGTTTTTGCTGCATTCTGTCATTTTAAACTAGGATTAAAACCTTACGTTTTCATCCAATGTTGGAGATGCTCTTCCTCCTTTTCATAGAGAATTCTAGTTTAGGCAGAGTAATTGGAAGATTTGCATCAAACATGTTGACAATCCTAAATCATAGGTAACAAAAGTATTTTATCTTGATGATATGACACAGGAAAAATCGTACCTACCGATGTTATTCAAATGGATGCTAATTATTATGCTTATTCGATGATTACCATGAGCAGAAAAAATACTTGCTACGACTTTTGATATGTAATGTAAGTGGTTGTATATGTTTCCATTATGCAGGTTGATAGAGGGTTGTACAAGTAATGATCCTTCCAAAATACCCACATTTGAAAATGTCATAGGAACTCTAGAAGAGGAATCAGCGTCTTTAGGGAGACCTGCATGCCCAGTTATTTGTTCAGTGCATTTTTAGGGTGTGGACTGACGGAAGGACAAGAAATGCACCAAATCAATACGACTTTAGTTTGTCATGGACAAGCCTTTGTAATTTGAATTTATTAGAGAAAGTAGTAATATTGTCTTGTGGTATTGAATATTATGTGTGAGTGTATTGTGAAAACTTAGAGTTTGATTGATGCTATATAATTTGTTTGAAGGGTTCACTGGAAATACTTCGCATTTAGCTTCTTGCTTTGTAAAATGAGTAATTTCTTTTTGGCTTTAATTTTTATTTATTTTTATACAAACGATGTGGTGACTGAAGAGGTGGTGGTAGATTCACCAACTACCCTCAGATGCCTAAGTCAGTTTTTTTCCTCATATCGAGGTAGTTGAAAAGTATTGTACTCATTTATGGATGAAATTTAGATTACCTTTTTCAAGTGAAAAGTACTCCCTTTTATATAGGGAAGATGGGACCTTTTGGTTGTACTTTTCCAATGTGGGTCTAAGGAGTTGATAATATCAACATATAAGGTGTTTAAATGAGGTATGGTTAAGATATTTCAAATGCAGTTTTGCTCATGAATTTGTGATAATGCTAGTCAATTATCATGATAGTTGTCTTTGTTGAAGTTTTATGGCTCACCAATATTTGTTGCAAGGGAAGAAGAAAACGAGGATGGGCTTAGTTTTCTATTCGTTTAGGATTTTGTTTCCTTTTCCTAGTAAACTTGTAAACCAAGTTAGAGAACTCATGTTAGAGAACTCGGGAGGAGCGAGAGATCTAATATGTGGCTGAAAGTGAAAGTGTAATATTCAGAAGGAAAAAGAAAAGGGTGCAATTGTAATTAACCCACGTTGAAAAACAACTGAAACTTCTTGCCTGTAATAAGTTTTGCAATACACACACCACTTTTCTACAATATTAATATATATCTCCTCCCTTTGCTGAAATTTATAAAAGAGATCAGCTTAGTCAAAATTACATAAATAGCCCTATTGTGCCATGATCACCTGGAGCAAACAGAAACAGGCTCTTCTGCTATAGTCTCCAACAATGGCTTCTTTGACCTACACATAGACAACCTGTGCATGAACTCCGGCGCCGAGAAATCTTCAATATCATCCAAATTCAACTTCGGCTTCGCGGCCTCATGATCAAGATTTTCCCGCCAATTCTCCATCCTTTTATTATCCTCCTCCTCCTCATCATCATCATCATCATCAAGTTCCCCGGACTTATCCTCAGCCGGCTGCACCCTGACGTTTCTGCCCGAAAGACGCTTGGTTGCCGAGCTGGCGGTGAGGAACAAGGCGCCCATATCGGCTGGAGTCACGGTCGAGTTGAGCCTCTTCATGGGGAACATGACGTACACGTCACCAATCTCCAAGTCTTCATCAGCATTGAGAGCTGAAAATCTTCTTCCAATATGGAGAGACTTAGTGTTTACAAGGAAGAAGTTTGGGGTTTCAAGCATGAGCTCTGCAGCTTTCATTGGTACATAGAATTGCTTGATTTCGCCGCTCGGGACGATGACTTTGGTGGCTGCTTTGCTGTTCTTGGCTATTTGGGTTGATAGGGTGCAAGAAACGTAGTTGCCCATGTCTTGAGGGGGGAGAGAGAGAGAGAGAGAGAGAATGGGTTTGTGATATGATGAGTTTTGGTTTGAGGAGATGAAAATTTTTTGAGGACTGACAGAGTCTAGGAATTGTGGGAGTTGAATTTTTATAAGGGAATGTATGAAGAGGTCTCTCATCTGAACTAGAAACAGGATTAGAAGATTCTAAAATAATAAAGAAAATAAAAATAAAGAAAATAATATTTGAGAGAGAAAGAGAGCCAGTTGTATGTGCGGTTGACATTGTTAGTAGTGTCCGCGTTGGGCCAAAAAATGTAGAAAAAGGAAAATGTAGTGGAATGTACGCTACTACATTTCCGGTTGTTTTTTTATTAGTTAGTTAATCATGAAAAGCTATACGCTTATGTCAAAGAGGGTTGTTTCAATTGATAAGGTCTTTGTATCGTGTGTAGTTTTATCAGTGTTCAAGTTTCGTTGTTAGTAGTTCTCGTTGATGCCCGATTTGTAATTTTCTATATAAATTTATACCGGTGGTGACAGCTGACAGTTGAGTGTGTAGCTCTACTAGTATTCGAGTTTCGCTGCCAGCAGTTCTCGTTAATGTGTGGTATGCAATTTTTTATATAAATACATATCAGTGGCAACTAACAGTTAGGTACCATGCATAACTCTTTCCGACTCGAGGAGATCTGGCCTCGCTGGTGATAAGAGTAGCCAATCTCTCCTCTACATTTTTTTTTCCATAAATATAATGTGATCAATGAACCAATATACTTTGTCAAATAACGTGTGGGACCCCCTCTTCATTTGTCTTTGACTTCCTCATTTCTTTTTTTCTTTCTTTTTTTTCTTTTTTGAGATGGGATTAAGAGCTTATCTACAACTACTTCAATTTTATAATTCTATATCCTAAAATCATCACATTTCAATAGACATGTGAGCTTCGTACAAGTTAGAAATAGATTTAGAGTAAATTCAGATTTGACATAAAAAAATATTGCAATATTATAAACAACATTTGATGAGTTTAGTCATTATACATATCATGAGTGTATTATTAGAAATATATAACTGAATTATTGATAAACAAATTTGATGAGTGTAGGGGTAATTTGTATAATTACATGCAAAGCTATATATCTTCCATGATTTTTTTTTTTATAAAAAAATAAAATAAAATTATATCTCTTCCTTGATTGATGGATGATTCAATGAGATAATATGAATGTGGCATGAACCCTTGAATGTGCAATATACGAAAACGATATGCATGAGTCAATAGTAGGGTTGCGTGACAAATCTGGTTTTAAATTTCTTTCCCTCTCTTTCTGCCGGTGGCGGTTGAACGAGTCCGTGGTGATGAAGACTCAAAGAAGAAATCGGACAAAAGGAGGGTAGGCAGCTCATCACATTCATACATTCATATTCATATGCTGCAGCTGCTGCGTCACGGGATTGTTGGTGTCACATTTCCGAAAGTATCTTTCGCATAACGCATATTTTTCCCTCTCTCTCTCTCTCTCTCTCTCTCTCTCTCTCTCTCTCTCTCTCTCTCATTAATTCTACTATATTCTATATCTATAATAATATTAGAGACATATTTTTATTTATTTATTTATTCTGAATATTTATTTAAAATAGCTACTTTCCATCTCATAAAACCACCTCTTCTCTTATTGGACTACATCTCATTTTTGCTTGAACTCCACTGGCAGTATGTGGAATATATCTGTTTGTGTGTGTGTATGCCTTCAAAATAAAAGCATCAACTCCGTACTCTTTTTGCTGCCAGATTCTCTGCTTCCTTAAAATATATTTACTTTTTGTCCTACGTCACCCAAAAATTTTAAGAGAGTTTTACTAAAACACCCAAAATGGGGGTTGAAATTATAAAAAAACCCAAGCACTATTTAAACATATAAACACACCCAAAACCCATCATTACGCACACTCAAAACCCATTTATAAACACACCCAAAAAGTTGACTTTGGGGTTAATTTTGGGTGTGTTTCTATGTTTAAATAGTG